ATAAGCTTCATTTTCCGGCGGGAAAGTAGTTTAATAGCGCCTTTTTATTGAACAAAAATACTACAGTAATTTGCGCAGATACGGGAAAGTAATTTATAGCGCCTCTTTATTGAACAAAAATACTACAGTAATTTGCGCAGATACGGGAAAGTAATTTGTAGCGCCTTTTTATTGAACAAAAATACTAAAGTAATTTGCGCAGATACGGGAAAGTAATTTATAGCGCCTCTTTATTGAACAAAAATACTACAGTTTTTTTGCGCAGATACTATCTGGAACACATGAATATTCCACACAAAGTCAAGTTTTACATATTCTTTGCTTGCAATCACGTGACAATTTGACTGAAATTTTGCTTCCGGTTTCCAAGTGACGGTCAAGTAAACAAAGATGGCGGCTCGCGCGGGTAAAGTGAACGATCAATCTGTCCCAAAAAACGCTCTTTCAGAGTACGCTAGTAATCTTGACTGCATATCCAAGTCAAGATATATCAACAAAATATCTATCTGTGATGGAATTGATCCATATTCTATGAAAACAAAGGACTTTTCTAAGGATTTCGCCGCCTTTCCTGACCTTCAGTTCCYGGACATTTCTAACTATCTTGTAGTCCAAACATCGTTTTATACCAAATCTCAGATGAAAGCCTTCAAAAGCCTTGAAGCTTATAACTTCTTCGTGTGTGGATGGGTTAATGATGTTGGTGTTAAGATSCTCAAAGACAATAATCGCCTTATTTTTGCAAGGGTACGTATACAAGAATATAAGCTGAGACAGTCGTTTTTACATCTGTGTGTGTGGCGTTTTCTGTGCCTATAATGATAAGTAATGTCTTCCATRTGTAGATAAACAAATTGTTAAACCTCTAGCTACAGCAAAATCATTATTTCCCTGTCTTTGCAGGTCAACCATTCTCAGAGATCAACTAAAACTCCGTTGAAGACTTGGGTCATCCTCAAAGAAGATGGCGAAGTCATTACAGCTCATTGCAACTGCATGGCAGGGTAAAGCATTTGATTTCAATGTAAAAGATAGACATATCAAGAGAAAAGACTTCTATGCATTGATATTTTACGTCTTAATTTCTAAGTTTTACATATCTATCTATAGGCTGGCAGAGTCATGTTCACATGTGGGAGCTATTCTTTACTACATTGAAACTGCAGTTCGTATGCGTGAGTCTTCCACTTGCACAATGGAAAAGAGTAAATGGTTGATGCCAGGACATGTTAAAAAGGTATTTTATCATTTCGATTGTAATATAATGTAAGTTTTTGACTATGAAAATATAATGTTATTTTAAAAACATTGTATTTAACAGGATTGATATATACAAGTTGCTGTTAGTAGCTTGCTCATCTGTGTAAACAATAATAACATGCTATTATTTCAAACTGCATGAAAGAGGTTTTGTTGATAATTTACTGATCAGTGCAAAAAATGTCATGTGAATTAATAAACTTATAATATTGTTCCTCAGATAAATGCTGCATCAGTGTGTGATATTGACTTCTCCTCAGCAAAGTCCAAAAAGCAAAAGTTGGACCAGGCCGTCTGCGGCAAATCAACTGAACCTGTTATAAARGCTTCCCCATCATGCCCACGTGTTGTTGCTGGATCTGAAGAATATGACAATTTCTTTAAAGAACTGAACCAAAACTTTGCCAAGAGTTCAGCTTTGATGATAAGACAGCCCTATTACAAAGATTTCATCCCTAAATCAACCACACCAGCATTTCCCAAGTGCATTATGACCTACAGTTCACTCGAAAGTTCTCAAGAGCTAACATATGACAAGTTGATGGAGGAATGTCAAAAATTAAACCTTACAGTCACTGAACAACAAGCAAAATCAGTAGAAGCTGAAACCAGGAAACAAGCTACATCAAAGATATGGTTCACTCAGAGAGCAGGTCGTATCACARCATCAAAACTTAAAGCAGTGCTGAGAACAAATCCTGACAGCCCATCTAAAAGCCTTATCAAAAGCATATGTTATCCTGAAGCTCACAGATTTACTTGTGATGCTACTAGGTTAGTACTGTATATCATTTGGGCACTATGTGACATTAAAGTCATAATAAATTGTGATCAGCATCATCATTATCAATATTATTCATAGTCTATGATAGGGACTGCTTATGTAAGCTCTAAAAAGGATTATTTTCAAAATACTATATTATTAATAATGATATTATTTAAACTTATTTTGACCTAGCTACACAATTTATCTGCATTTCAGGTATGGTTGCAAACATGAATCCCAAGCAAGAAAGAAGTATGAAAGTATGATGTCTCAGCAACATGACAACTTCTCAGTAAGTGACAGTGGTTTGAGGATTAATCCCAAGTGGCCACATATGGGTGCTTCGCCTGATGGGGTTGTAATTTGTGAATGCTGTGGTATGRGAGCATGTGAGATTAAGGTAAGTACTGTACAATATAAACATTAAAATCATGTTTTGCTAATTCAATAATATTTTTTGGACCATGTTTGTTCTTCCAGTGCCCTTATTGTCAGAAAGATAAAGAAAACATCGAATGCTGCATAGGCGATAAAGGATTTTGCCTTATCAAAAATGACCAAGGACATATTCAACTAGACAGGAACCACACTTATTATTTTCAAGTTCAAAATCAATTGCACATCATGGAATCTGAATATTGTGATTTTATCGTATGGAATGAAAACGACATATTCATAGAGAGAATAGAGCCGGATATTGCATTCTGGAACAGCATTTTGCCTAAAGTTGAATTGTTTTTTAGAAGATGCATTCTTCCTGAAGTATTGGGGAAATATTACACTAAGGAATTACTTCCTCCTACCCTTAAGCATACAAATACAGTCTGTAGATCAGAATAATTTATTTATTCTATAATTAATTTTTTGACAATTTGTTTACCATATTATTTAAGTATAAATTATAAACATGCTTTAAAATTGATTATTTTTAACAATACAACTGTTCATTTGATATCAGAATAGCAACATTAATTTGCTGTAGTATAGGTCTCGGATATATAAGCATGACAGTAGAAAACACTAGGTATTTGCAACATTTCACATAACTGATGTTATGTACAATGTCAAGTCACTACACTGTTCTTTAATGTTACTCTAGAGGTACAACAGATTCGGATAAGTTAGTCAGAGCACAGCAAACTGCTCCAATTTTATCAATCGTAGAGTGTGACTCCCCAGGTTTGGTGTGCATATGCTCTACTGCTAGTGCACGGCTCTGTAGAATTTGGTACTTCCGTCTCACCAATCCAATTACTCGTTCAACATGTATTCTGACATTGGCTATCTTTCTTGTTTCCTCCACTTCATATGCTGATAACTGTGTTTTCCCTCTTGTAAAGGCTGGAATTTTTAAGGTTGCACAATRAACACCAACACTATCTTCAATGTTAAACCCACGGTCAGCCAATATCACATCTCCTGGAAGTAGGTTTTCCAGCAATCCACTCTCTTCTGTGATCTGTTTATYACTTACCCTCCCTCCCCATGCCTTGGATATAAATGTTACTAGGCCTTGAGGAGCAATACCAATTAAAAATTTCACAGTATTGTGATGCTTATAGTTTGACCATGTTTGGGCCCGAGCTAATAAATTTGATGGTCTTTCTATAAAAACTTCAAAGCAGTCAACAATAACTGCAACTCTGCTACCAAATGACTTTCTAAAATCCATTGGCATTGTGGCCCACAAAGTCTCTCTCGATGGCCATTCAATCAGGAACTGTAATCTGCTATGTAAAATGCTCAGTACTTTATTGAAAAGTCTAGAGGCTGTTGAACTAGAAATTCCAAATCTGTAGGCCAGGTCCTGCAAAGGTAGATTCAGTTTGAGTCTCATGAGAACAAGTATAAGTTGCTCAAACTTTCCTAATGCTGATCTTTCAGTTTGTGTGATCCAGGGTTCACACAAACGAAACACCTGCAACAGTACTAGGAACTTTGGTAGGCCAGTGTAAAATTTACACTTTTCATCATTGTTCTCAAAGCTTTCTTTACTTAGATTTGCATTTAATATTTTTGCCTGCAAGTCGGAGAGCTTTTGGCGTGTTAAGTTTAACTCCTCTTCCATTGCAGACAAAAGATCGCTGGTGAAATCCGTCTGGCATTCTGCATCGCGACGATTCGGGCTTTCTGTCGTTTCTGTCTGTGTGTCTGTAATAAAAAAAAGGAATCGTGGCATCAATAACAAAGCTTTGAAGTAAATRATAAATACGTTACACATTTTTACCTTGGGCTGATAAGTCCGGATCATCTGTGGTTTGTTCATAAGAGATTTCTTCAGTCAGTCGAGCTTGCTTCTGCAAGTCAAGCAAGGCACTAACAGCTTCGGAATGGCGTCGTTTCAGATCTCTGTTTGTTGATCTCTCACCGCGCTTTATAGAGCTCTCTGTGGCTTGTTTTATCTTCTGATGGCCAAGCTTCAACGTAGGGGACCAATCTATGTCGTCTTCGTCTTTTATATTGCTCGGACAACCTAGATAAGATATGTATTTGTTTAGTAAACAGACTTCGATAACATGCGACGAACCTACAAACACTCTACAAGCATCATCGTATTTTCAGTGTTTACAACAAACCAACACGTTCAAAGCAAAGAAATAACATCTGACTTTCGAACTCTATCAATAGAATTGTTAAATACCTTTTACGAAGTGATCGCTGCATACACGAGCGTGTGGAGATTCAACTCCTTTCGAAGATAAAGATAGGTTAGCGAGCCATCGGGAGCGACGTCTTTTTGATAAATCTCTTGTCCGTTCTCCCTTGTGAACAACTTCTTTAGGTATTCTAAAAAACCTCTTTTCTTTCTGCTTATTAGATCGGTTTGAACAACCATAAACTGAGCAGGAATCGGGCATATTTTACGAAAATTTTCTTTTAACAACTTGTAAACACATACATTGCCTTGTACGCCACCTGAATGCTTGACCGTCAGCTGGAAATATGCATACATAATGAACCGGAAGTGACGTGCATTGCAAGCAAAGAATAGGGTGAAAGTTCTGTATCGGTGCATTATCATATATTTCTTTACTTAATTCGTAGCTTGGACTCAGCCTTCTTGTCAGGCTTTGATGACGTCATACCCGGCACCAGTTTCTACGGCAGTTCCAACACATACCTCATCCAGTCCATGGGAACNCGTTGAAGACTTGGGTCATCCTCAAAGAAGATGGCGAAGTCATTACAGCTCATTGCAACTGCATGGCAGGGTAAAGCATTTGATTTCAATGTAAAAGATAGACATATCAAGAGAAAAGACTTCTATGCATTGATATTTKACGTCTTAATTTCTAAGTTTTACATATCTATCTATAGGCTGGCAGAGTCATGTTCACATGTGGGAGCTATTCTTTACTACATTGAAACTGCAGTTCGTATGCGTGAGTCTTCCACTTGCACAATGGAAAAGAGTAAATGGTTGATGCCAGGACATGTTAAAAAGGTATTTTATCATTTCGATTGTAATATAATGTAAGTTTTTGACTATGAAAATATAATGTTATTTTAAAAACATTGTATTTAACAGGATTGATATATACAAGTTGCTGTTAGTAGCTTGCTCATCTGTGTAAACAATAATAACATGCTATTATTTCAAACTGCATGAAAGAGGTTTTGTTGATAATTTACTGATCAGTGCAAAAAATGTCATGTGAATTAATAAACTTATAATATTGTTCCTCAGATAAATGCTGCATCAGTGTGTGATATTGACTTCTCCTCAGCAAAGTCCAAAAAGCAAAAGTTGGACCAGGCCGTCTGCGGCAAATCAACTGAACCTGTTATAAAAGCTTCCCCATCATGCCCACGTGTTGTTGCTGGATCTGAAGAATATGACAATTTCTTTAAAGAACTGAACCAAAACTTTGCCAAGAGTTCAGCTTTGATGATAAGACAGCCCTATTACAAAGATTTCATCCCTAAATCAACCACACCAGCATTTCCCAAGTGCATTATGACCTACAGTTCACTCGAAAGTTCTCAAGAGCTAACATATGACAAGTTGATGGAGGAATGTCAAAAATTAAACCTTACAGTCACTGAACAACAAGCAAAATCAGTAGAAGCTGAAACCAGGAAACAAGCTACATCAAAGATATGGTTCACTCAGAGAGCAGGTCGTATCACARCATCAAAACTTAAAGCAGTGCTGAGAACAAATCCTGACAGCCCATCTAAAAGCCTTATCAAAAGCATATGTTATCCTGAAGCTCACAGATTTACTTGTGATGCTACTAGGTTAGTACTGTATATCATTTGGGCACTATGTGACATTAAAGTCATAATAAATTGTGATCAGCATCATCATTATCAATATTATTCATAGTCTATGATAGGGACTGCTTATGTAAGCTCTAAAAAGGATTATTTTCAAAATACTATATTATTAATAATGATATTATTTAAACTTATTGTGACCTAGCTACACAATTTATCTGCATTTCAGGTATGGTTGCAAACATGAATCCCAAGCAAGAAAGAAGTATGAAAGTATGATGTCTCAGCAACATGACAACTTCTCAGTAAGTGACAGTGGTTTGAGGATTAATCCCAAGTGGCCACATATGGGTGCTTCGCCTGATGGGGTTGTAATTTGTGAATGCTGTGGTATGGGAGCATGTGAGATTAAGGTAAGTACTGTACAATATAAACATTAAAATCATGTTTTGCTAATTCAATAATATTTTTTGGACCATGTTTGTTCTTCCAGTGCCCTTATTGTCAGAAAGATAAAGAAAACATCGAATGCTGCATAGGCGATAAAGGATTTTGCCTTATCAAAAATGACCAAGGACATATTCAACTAGACAGGAACCACACTTATTATTTTCAAGTTCAAACTCAATTGCACATCATGGAATCTGAATATTGTGATTTTATCGTATGGAATGAAAACGACATATTCATAGAGAGAATAGAGCCGGATATTGCATTCTGGAACAGCATTTTACCTAAAGTTGAATTGTTTTTTAGAAGATGCATTCTTCCTGAAGTATTGGGGAAATATTACACTAAGGAATTACTTCCTCCTACCCTTAAGCATACAAATACAGTCTGTAGATCAGAATAATTTATTTATTCTATAATTAATTTTTTGACAATTTGTTTACCATATTATTTAAGTATAAATTATAAACATGCTTTAAAATTGATTATTTTTAACAATACAACTGTTCATTTGATATCAGAATAGCAACATTAATTTGCTGTAGTATAGGTCTCGGATATATAAGCATGACAGTAGAAAACACTAGGTATTTGCAACATTTCACATAACTGATGTTATGTACAATGTCAAGTCACTACACTGTTCTTTAATGTTACTCTAGAGGTACAACAGATTCGGATAAGTTAGTCAGAGCACAGCAAACTGCTCCAATTTTATCAATCGTAGAGTGTGACTCCCCAGGTTTGGTGTGCATATGCTCTACTGCTAGTGCACGGCTCTGTAGAATTTGGTACTTCCGTCTCACCAATCCAATTACTCGTTCAACATGTATTCTGACATTGGCTATCTTTCTTGTTTCCTCCACTTCATATGCTGATAACTGTGTTTTCCCTCTTGTAAAGGCTGGAATTTTTAAGGTTGCACAATRAACACCAACACTATCTTCAATGTTAAACCCACGGTCAGCCAATATCACATCTCCTGGAAGTAGGTTTTCCAGCAATCCACTCTCTTCTGTGATCTGTTTATYACTTACCCTCCCTCCCCATGCCTTGGATATAAATGTTACTAGGCCTTGAGGAGCAATACCAATTAAAAATTTCACAGTATTGTGATGCTTATAGTTTGACCATGTTTGGGCCCGAGCTAATAAATTTGATGGTCTTTCTATAAAAACTTCAAAGCAGTCAACAATAACTGCAACTCTGCTACCAAATGACTTTCTAAAATCCATTGGCATTGTGGCCCACAAAGTCTCTCTCGATGGCCATTCAATCAGGAACTGTAATCTGCTATGTAAAATGCTCAGTACTTTATTGAAAAGTCTAGAGGCTGTTGAACTAGAAATTCCAAATCTGTAGGCCAGGTCCTGCAAAGGTAGATTCAGTTTGAGTCTCATGAGAACAAGTATAAGTTGCTCAAACTTTCCTAATGCTGATCTTTCAGTTTGTGTGATCCAGGRTTCACACAAACGAAACAACTGCAACAGTACTAGGAACTTTGGTAGGCCAGTGTAAAATTTACACTTTTCATCATTGTTCTCAAAGCTTTCTTTACTTAGATTTGCATTTAATATTTTTGCCTGCAAGTCGGAGAGCTTTTGGCGTGTTAAGTTTAACTCCTCTTCCATTGCAGACTAAAGATCGCTGGTGAAATCCGTCTGGCATTCTGCATCGCGACGATTCGGGCTTTCTGTCGTTTCTGTCTGTGTGTCTGTAATAAAAAAAAGGAATCGTGGCATCAATAACAAAGCTTTGAAGTAAATAATAAATACGTTACACATTTTTACCTTGGGCTGATAAGTCCGGATCATCTGTGGTTTGTTCATAAGAGATTTCTTCAGTCAGTCGAGCTTGCTTCTGCAAGTCAAGCAAGGCACTAGCAGCTTCGGAATGGCGTCGTTTCAGATCTCTGTTTGTTGATCTCTCACCGCGCTTTATAGAGCTCTCTGTGGCTTGTTTTATCTTCTGATGGCCAAGCTTCAACGTAGGGGCCCAATCTATGTCGTCTTCGTCTTTTATATTGCTCGGACAACCTAGATAAGATATGTATTTGTTTAGTAAACAGACTTCGATAACATGCGACGAACCTACAAACACTCTACAAGCATCATCGTATTTTCAGTGTTTACAACAAACCAACACGTTCAAAGCAAAGAAATAACATCTGACTTTCRAACTCTATCAATAGAATTGTTAAATACCTTTTACGAAGTGATCGCTGCATACACGAGCGTGTGGAGATTCAACTCCTTTCGAAGATAAAGATAGGTTAGCGAGCCATCGGGAGCGACGTCTTTTTGATAAATCTCTTGTCCGTTCTCCCTTGTGAACCACTTCTTTAGGTATTCTAAAAAACCTCTTTTCTTTCTGCTTATTAGATCGGTTTGAACAACCATAAACTGAGCAGGAATCGGGCATATTTTACGAAAATTTTCTTTTAACAACTTGTAAACACATACATTGCCTTGTACGCCACCTGAATGCTTGACCGTCAGCTGGAAATATGCATACATAATGAACCGGAAGTGACGTGCATTGCAAGCAAAGAAGTGAAGTGACGGTCCCGAGGGTGTCCGCTGTAACGAGAGTCGACTGTACAGGTTAATACTTCATGGGATTATAAATTAGTGTTCTTTATGCCCACATTTACGTGGCATCCCGAATTTACTATCGAGGAATTCACCTACACTTACTTTGTTTTCCTATCTTAGGCATACGTTACTATTTATTTCTAAAAAGTTATTAAAAATCGCTTAAATACCCCTTTTTAAGCAAATTTTAAGATAACTTATATATTTTTCGTCGGACCAACAAATTCAGACACGATTATTCCTAAGTTGATACTGAATTAATTTAAAGACTAAATCCGATCGGCTCAAAGAAAGCCAGCCTTGCCTGCTCATTTTATCACTTCTCCGTACGCGAATATTGAAGACTCTCAAAACTCCAGTGTATGCGGGCTTCGTATCACTTCTGAGGTCGGTAATCAAAACCAGGAATTAGAATAACAAAACAAGGGCAACTCCGACAGCAACTCCTGGATACGAGGCTAAGCCCGCATGCACTGGAGTCTCCTTACATCGAACACTTTTGGATAATATGGACAGTAAATCTAAGCCTYGCATGAATAAGATGTCTTTCAAAATGACGAAATAAAAAAATGACGAAAAATGACGAAATGTTTTATTTTTGGGCCAAACTTACATAGACCATGAGACTTTGCGCGCATAATATCCAATATGGCCGACGAAGTTGCGTAAAACAATTGACAAACCATCTTCTTCAAATTGACCTCATTTTACTCTCTTAAAACCCCAAGAAACAACAAACTACACTACTGAGGAACAAATCAATCATCAAGCTCTCGAGAAAACGCGATATTAAGCGAATAAGGAATTTTTTAGTGACAAATTGAGTCGACGAAAGTTTGTTGTGGTTGATATACCTTGTTGCATTTCACAGGTTTGAATCGGTTTGAATTAAAAAAATAAGTCAAGTTTAGAAGGAAGGAGTTAGTAATGAATCGAATTCGTTTGCATTATTAAGGATTAAAGGTCAGTATGCAAGTATTATTCTTATTTAAACTTTATTATTTATTTCCTTAAATATTTGCGATGTAACGTGAGCATGTCAGAACAAGTCACGACAATTTTACTTTAAGCCCTTTAATTATTAACACACATATGAATATAAAATGAAATATTAGATAAATTGATCTTTAGCGCATGCAGTACAAGAACAAAAGTTTTTGAGCCTCCAAGTTATTTTGTCTATCCTCGAATATTAGTACTTTCTCCTAGAGTAATTTTTTGGTGTTTTTTTTTACAAATTCTTTTTTTTTTTCTTTTTTTTTCCAGGAATTCTAACTTTAATCATAGTAATTACACATAAGAATTCGGAACTTATTGATATTATTATTCAGAGGAATTTTAAAATGCCCTGCAAATGATATACAATTGTCCGAATTCTTTGCAGAACGATCACGCATACAGCAATAGAAGTCATGGTCATTAAATATATGTGCACATGATTTGTAGGGTATTCTAAGGTTGTACCTGCTATTCCTACAGTATTTTATATACTAACTTACTGAGGGTCGGATGGGAAAATATTTGGTTCAAGGTCTAGTGATGTACGTTCATACAAATGATCAAGAGCTATTTATTCCATCTGGCCCAACCTTACTCAGTTGATAAGCATTTTTTATCATATGACTCATTTTTTGTTGTAAAAAAGACTGAAAAATCTTGTTAAAATCTATGCTTACAGCGCATGTGAATGAGGCAGGATTTTCCRGCAACCCATCCGGCTCCCATCATGAGACATTTTCCAAAATGTTTCCTAGAGAACGCAAGCAGACCCATATGCCTCATGGGATATTCCATGGTTTGCACCACCTCAAAACTATGGTATAACAAGTATATATTAATGTCATAATACTTGACAATACTCAAACTTGGCATTTCTTTAGATGACACTTGTTGAAAACCTTCAAAATGTTTAACAAACTTTTACTTTGACTACATATATTTTGAAAAGTATATTAATGATTGAATATTTTCTTACTTCAAAGATGACTGGCACATTTGTCCCAGTTGACTTGGATCAAGTCTTGGATGAATTTGAAGAACAAGAAATGAAAAATGGTTCTCCTCAAAAAACTAACATCAACACTAAACAAAATGACTCTCTTGACGCCCCCCAAGGCAGTATTCATYCACATATGAGATTTCCCAGCGTTGATGAACCCAGAACCTACTCATTTAACGGTCCTATAGATGCTATATTAGAAAACCATTCGAATAATATCGACAAATCAAGTGGTACTAGTCTTGCACAAGAACTTGCTGGTTATGATTTTGGGACTCACCTTCATGATGATGATCATGATGATCATGAGGACAGACCTGATGATCACGATGATGTTAATGGTGGGGATCACAATGGTGTAACTCATAGTAATTTAGACCAAAATACAGCTGATGATAGTAATGTTAGCGAGATGGCAAGTGAAACTAGCAGCACATCAGATGTTATTGCTGCAGCTGAAAAAATAACATCAGAAAATAACTTCTCTCTCCAAAAATCAAGCACTTCTTCTGCGCATGAATCAGAATCAAAGCCTTTTAGCCTTGACACTAATGACTTGAGCGAAGGAATTCAAAGCTCTTCTACTTCAACTCTCTCAAGTCAATCCATCACAGAACAAAACAAGAAGTTAGAAGACGAGCCAGATTTTCTTTCTGTTTTAAATTCTGTAGTCGAAGAAAAGTCTATGTGCGTTCAAGGTTCAAAGTCCCAAACTGCTTCATTTAGTAGCTATGATGGTTCAACGTCTTCAAGCACAGAATTGAATGAAATTAAAGATATATTGGTTGATAAAACACAGGACCTGGCTTGTGCGACAGATGAAATTGGTGATTCTAGATTAAATGATATCTCAAATGAGCAAGGAGAAAAATTCTCTGCTTTAGAGCCCGATTCAATAGACTTTGATTCTACTGAAGATTCAAAACAATTGAGTAGTAAGTACCCTGTTGGTGGTGATAGCGAAGGTGATAATGTTCAGCCTTCAGAAGAAAAGACTCTTAATATTGAAGATAATTTTTATAGATCGAAAGAAACAATTCCAAGTGGCAAAGTTTTGGAAGCTGATGATTTAACAGGTGTTCTTTTGTCAGAAAATATTAGCGCCTCAGATGATGTTGATAATACTCACCCTAGCGGCGACAAGGCAAAAGTAAGAGGTAAAAGTTCCATGGAGAATTTTGAAATTGCTTCATGTAGTACTGATAATGACATGAGTACAGATAATACAGTTGCAGGTGAGAATCTATTTTTCAATACTACAAACAACGAAGCAAGTGCTTCAGAAAAATGCATTGAAAGTTGGGAAAAAGAAGGCAATGTTCACAATGAAGAAAGCGAAGAAGGAGATGGAGAATTAGTGCATGGCGGCCAGCCTAATCAACAAGATGGTGACACTTTGCTATTAGATTTAAAGGAAGAGACGTCATTAGTCAATCCAGTGATTCCTTCTGATAGTGTAGCCATTGACAATGGGTTGCCCCAAGTGGGAAGACCAGATGAGATTGTACAAAATGATCCAAATTTATTAGAGAATTTAACACCTCAGGAAACAGAGTCTGTGGCTAATCGCATGAGTCCTATTGACAGTGGTTCTGCTGATAGTTTATGTGGGACGCAGGATGAGGACACAGTGGGCATGGGAAATGAACCAACTGGTGTTCATGCTGGTGGTAAGAAAATCAAGTATTGTCTGTTTCTGGTCTCGACATTTCTTCCCATCCATCTTTTCACCTCCTCTTAGTTTTCTCTGTTTTTTCCTTTTCCCTTCACCCATCCATGCTTCCTTCCTTTCGTCCATCAATCCAGCCACCCACCCATCCTCCCATCCATCCATCCATCCATCCATCCATCCATCCTCCCATCCATCGATCCATCCACCCACCCATTCATCCAACCATCCACCCACCCACCCATCCTCCCATCCATCCATCCATCCATCCTCCCATCCATCGATCCATCGATCCATCCACCCACCCATTCATCCAACCATCCACCCACCCATTCATCCAACCATTCACCCACCCATTCATCCAACCATCCACCCACCCACCCATCCTCCCATCCATCCATCCATCCATCCTCCCATCCATCCATCCATCCATCCATCCACTCTGTCCACTTTTTCATATCTACTAATCTCAGTCCTGTTTTATCAGAACAATCAAAGACAGACTTGGACTTCAAAATGTCAGCAATTCACATCAGTAGTGGTGACCCAGAGATGGGTTTTGTACCCCCAATATGGGTACCTGATGATGTGGCAACCCATTGCATGAATTGTGGGCTAAAGTTCTCTGTGATAAAGAGAAAACATCACTGCAGGGCATGTGGAAAGGTATGTTCAGGACTGATGATCAATAGAATGACAGTCTGTCCCAGTTGAATTCAAAGGAATTAAGCCTGCTTTTACGTGTCCAAACAAGTTTTTAACCGGCCAAACATTCAGCCTGTACATACCGTTTACACGGAAGTTGGATCTTCACTGTCTCTTTAATTGTATAAAAAATATGTTATGTTTACATGGAACTGGATTTATATAATTTTATCTTCCAGTTGCTCATTGAACCTTTTTCTGTAGGTTCTCTGTTCATCATGTTGCAACATGAAGTTTCCTCTGCCATACATGGGCAATAAAGATGCACGTGTCTGTCAAGTGTGTTGCGACATTCTTGTTAGAGGAAATCATCAAACATTGTCATCAGAAAGTATGTTTACCTTCCTCTAGTAATACTTACAGCATCAAGTATTAATTATAAGTTATTGAGGTTGTTATATAATTAGCTGCTGTTCTGTATTGCCCATAAGGAAGGCCAATGTGCAGGGCTTAAAATAATGGCTAGTAAGTCGGCGGTAAGTTATGATGACATGCCAAACTACTGTAGGTTTAGCTCAGTCATACCTCATTTCTGGCTCAATGTTACTGGCSAAAATAGATGGCAAGGCAAAATTTGACGGCAAAGTTACAATTCTGGGCGGCGTTGACAGATGCCTGGCTGTTATTCTAAGCCCTGATATAGATTGTATGTCTTTCAACACTATCAATGTAAACCCATATTGCAAATAAGTTTGGTATCACAAATCATCTTTTGCATAGTGTTGGTCAAGCCAAAGCTTGAACTTGTAGGCCATTTCTGAGTTTGATAACCAGAATGTATTTGGTCTAGCTTAGGTACAAACAACACCATATAAGGCATGATGAACAAAAGATGTTTGTACCCAAGCTAGACCACAATGCATCATGTTTACTATCTCACAATACCATGTAAGGCATGGTGAACAAAAAATGTTTTTACCCAAGCTAGACCACAATGCACCATGTTCGCTATCTCACAAAACCATGTAAAGCATGATGAACAAAAGATGTTTGTACCCAAGCTAGACCACAATGCATCATGTTCACTATCTCACGACACCATGTAAGGCATGGTGAACAAAGGATGTTTGTACCCAAGCTAGACCACAATGCATCATGTTTACTGCCTCACAACACCATGTAAAGCATGATGAACAGAAGATGTTTGTACCCTAGCTAGACCACAATGCATCATGTTCACTATCTCACAACACCATGTAAAGCATGATGAACAAAAGATGTTTTTACCCTAGCTATACCTCAGTGCACCTTGTTTGGCACAGCCTGGTGCCCCCAATAAACTGAACATGCAAACTTGTGTTTTACTAACTATGCTTTTATTGACAGACCTCCAAACAAGTGCTCCAGCAACCCCTAAATCAGATGAAAACAGCGAGGTAGCACCAGGCCCTGATCATGACAATGGGTCCATACATGCTGCCGAAGTCCCTCCACCTACACCAGCTGAGGAGGAAGACCTTGATGAAGATGAGCAACTGGATCAAGCACTGGGAGGAAGTGGTGGGGAAGAAGAACATGAAGATCAGGGTGACGCAGAAAATAATTTGGGTAATATTGCGCAATAATATTGTACAGTCAACTCTTACCCTGTGGACACCCCGACATCTTGCGATCATGGACAGGAGCGAAAAATATAATGATAAATAATAGCATAAATGGAAAAAAATAACAACAAAGAAAACATCATAATCAACTTTTGCTTTTGCGGAGGCTCTCTATTATAGCCACCAAATGATGATACAAAGGCTGTCCATCGTAACAAGAGTTGATTGTATGCAAATCATTCACGAAAGTCATCTGTAATGTGCTACTTGGATATCAATTTTGAAAATTGGCTGAAAACCTGTGAAAATGAGTTTTTGGTTTTGAAAAAACAGTGGTATGCATAGAATGCAAAATGTGAATTATCGAGAATTGATTTGGGAAGCATGGGTGGTGTGCCCGGCTAATGCGTCACCTCTCACAAATGCGACCCAGTTTCAAGTCCAACGGCTCAGTGTTTAAGGTGACTAGAGTTGTTTGTTGGTTCTCTCCTGTTCATTTTCCTCCCTCCTTAAAGATCGACTTCTAAATTCCAATTCGATCTTTTGGCTTTCACCAAGTTTGGAGTCTAGTTCTGTTGTGATTATCCCATGTTGTGATGCAACAGCTAAAAGCTTAATAGATATGGCAGGCATTCCAGACCTCCTATATATCCTATATTTCCTATAATTTGTATAGGATCCTAAAAAGAGTCTATATTTAAAGAAAACCTCCTATATTTCCTATAAATAGGACGACTGCTGATTGATACATTTATATTTTACACTGTTTAGCATATTTGACGAAGGAAATAAAATGGCCCTTTTTTTTGTTTTTTGTTTGGTTCTATTCTTTTTTTGGTTCTGCAAATCATTGCCTGTGCACCCTCCCTGCAAGATCCCTGGTTACGCCACCGAAAAGCTATCTATCTTAGCTCCTATAAAGTGCATATATGTTTGGGAAAAAATCCTATATTTTCCTATATTTAGAACTTGCACAGCCTATATTTCCTATCAAATTTGTCTAAAAAGTGGCTGGGATGCCTGATATGGTCATAATGACTTTCTATTTCTTGCAGACCACTTGGTAACAATATCAGAAAACTTGATTAAGTATGAAAAATGAGGTTTCGTCTTTTATTAAATATCTTCGTTTTTGTTTTTTTTCACAGACGCACATTCTCCAGATGTCTCCACCCTATCCTTACCATCTGACCCACACACTCTACCCATCAATGAAGGTGGTTCATCAGCATCTTTGTCCTCAGCACCTCTATCTCCAACATTATCTGACGACAGTGATATTTCTTTTCGGCTTGACRTTGAGCATGTGAGGGCGTTGATCCCTCAAGAATCATCTGCTTTGCCTCCAGTTTTGAATCTACACAAAAATAGTAAGTGGACGATAACATTCTGTAGGGGCAGATCCAAGGATTCAGGGGTGGTTAGGGGGTGAGAAAATATATCTGAGTTATGGAGTATCTGATGTTAATAGTCTGTTATTGTTTTTTAAATATTTTGTTTCAGCTATTGCTATCAAGGAGCACCCTGATCCAGCTGAGATCATGTATCGCTTGAAAGGTATGGAGGGAGGGAGGGAGGGAGGGAGGGAAGGAGGGATGGATGAATGGATGACTGGGTGGATGGATGAGTGGATCGAATGAATGGATGGGATGGATGGATGGATGGGTGGATGACAGACGGACAGACGAGCAGATGGACAGGTGGGTGGGTCGATGGATGGATTGATGTATGGATGAATGAATAAATATATATTAGTGGGTGGATGGATGGATGGATGGATGGATGAATAGAAGGATGGATGAATGAATGAATGAATATATAAATGGATAGATGGATGAATGAATGAATGAGAGTAAATGAAGGGAAAGATAGGTATGAAAAGAGGTAGAATAGAAGGGAGGGATAAATGTAATATTTAAGCAATAGAAAACTTTTTCCGTGTTTACATAGCCTGATAGCAACACGAGGGGAGGTTGGGAGAATTCGAGACAGTTATGCAAACCCGAGACGTAGTTGAGGGTTTGCACAACTGTCGAGAATTCTCCCAACCCCCCGAGTGTTGCTATCAGGCTATGTAAACACAGAGAAAAAAGTTTTCTATTGCTTTTATAAAATAAATACTAAGGGAAAACATTACCACTTGCAAGAAAATAAATCTTTATTTGAATTTGATTCTCATATCAAAATACAAATTCTTCATACATTACAAACTTCGATCGTTAGCCAATCAAATTTCGTGTAATAAACGACAAGGAGGCAAATGTGAAGCGAGAAAGAATCGCTAGCTATTTCAAACATTTATCATTCTAAACCTTTAAAACAAATACAAAGAAATGTCCAAAGATTGAATAGAAATCTTAGTAAAAGATTTCAGAATTGATTATCTTTATGAAAGTGATCAAAAGTGGATAACAAGTGTCACTGTGAATGGAATTCCCGGTTGAAAGAAACGTTGTTTTGCTCAATTTGACAGCGAGAAAACATGGCAGCGAAGTTGATTGTTTCGTCTTGCCTCGAGAAGATATTTTGTGGAGCTGAAGAGCTATCGCTGGAAAAAGTTTGAAGCTGCTGACTGTTTCCTTGAAATACTTGTATTCTTTATCGGGCGGTGCATTTAAATCATGAGAAAGCACGTCGCTGAACAACCGCAGCTGTCCTGACGCAGGACGTGTGTTGTAGCTCCTGAGGGAATTCTCTTTGCGGTGACCAACGAGAGATTGTCATGATATTACGATCAGAAAGACCTGCATGAGACCATAGGGTTATGCCTGTGGCCCTGACACAAGTCAAAATTTGGAACTTCGTCTTCAAAATGCATTTTTGAGGGCGTTTTTTTCCTCGAAAGAAACTGTAAATTTTAAATTTTTGAACTTGTACCGGGAAAACACGAAAGTTGTGACGTCACAACTGTGTTTACATATCCTCATGCAAACATGGCTATCAACCAATCACAGCGTGCGTACTATTTAATTTATTTTATAAAATCTTTTATTATATAATTACCAATGAAATATCTATTTTTCTCTATTTCGAAAAATTGATATCCTTACACGTGAAAATAACATGTTATTTTCACGTGTGAAAATAACACCATTGTGATGGCTATTCGAAAATACACGGAAAGAATTGCCTGAAAAAGCCAAAACATACTTCATTGATAATTATATAATAAACAGAATATTACATGGGCGCTTGGAGATACGAATTTTATCTTCTCGTGTTGAAAATTTTCAACACTTGAAGATAAAATTCGTATCTCCGCGCGCCCATGTAATATCCTCTATTTATTATATTAATCAAATAATTCTTTTCCATCCTTAGGAAAGGGAGAGACAGTCATCTTTTTGCTGAACAAGAATCTCATTGTCAAAGTAAAAATTGTCAAATGTAAGCATATTTTTGCTTTAATAGAGTGTGTGCAACCATGTGACTCAAAATCCCTTGAGATATGAATAACAATAAAACAGCCGCCATCTTGGTTTMTCTAACAAGAGAAACTAATGATGAATGCTTTATTATCCTCAACCAAGATGGTGGCTATGACATAATATGTGTCTGCTCTATTGATAATCAGTATCTGTAGTACACCCTTTTAGCTGCGGCACAACATTTTCCCATTTCAGACCACGTTATTCTCTTCAAAATTAGATTCTTTGTTTGACTTGTAACTATTTCATGTGTCTTGTCATGTACAACTGCCAAAATAAAATGATGTACTCTAGGGAATGACATGGTCTGAAATGGGAAAATATTAAACCCAAGGTAAAATAGACTAAATTGAGTTCCTATGTACTTGTTCAGAAGCTTAATGGTCATTTTTATTCCATTCCAACAGTGCGCTGCTGTGTGAAGAAGAAGTGTTGGTGCTTTGTCACCGATGGAATGGGAGCAGCCAGCCAGGAAGAAATGGTACAAAACTAAATTAAAGTAGCTCAACTCTCTCAAAAGCAAACAAATGATGTCATTGTGAATTTTAAAATAAATACATGAAGATATAGAAATATAGATAAGTTATAGTGCTTGGGAACAACCTCATCTTCATGTATTTCATAAGTAGAAAYGCGGTCCACATATTCTCATCTTTGCATCAAAATTACCGCAACCAAACATGTATTTCACCCTGGCCTGCTCTCAGTCTGACCTCTAGCTCAGCTGGTAGAGCATCGGTAGTACAATTCCGAAGGTTGTGGGTTAGATTCCTAGCGAGGTCGGAAATTAATTTTTCCGAATTTATTTCCAAGGGTCTTTCGCCCGGAATAACCTCGTTCCCAAGCACTATAACTTATCTATATTTCTATATCTTCATGTATTTCATAAGTACTACGCGGTCCACATATTCTCAATTTTAAAAAAAATGAATCTCTTTACTTTGGGTGTAATGTTTTCTCATTTCTAGACCAAGTATTATTTTCTTGAGAATAAGATTTGTTTGAGTCGTATCTATATTCATGTGTCTTCTCAAGCACAACCAACTTTAAACAAAGAAATAATACTCTAGGGAATGACACGTGGTCTGAATTGGGAATCTCTATGCTCAAGATATGGCAGCAGAGTGCTATCATTTCCAGAACTTGATTTTAATCTTTATTCTGATTGTTTGTTTCGTGTTTAAGGTCATCCTTTTAGAATGCCAACATAATGAGAACACTGTACCCAAAGATGTCCTTTCTCACKTCAACACGGCTTTCAGCTATGCTAAACAAGGTATTCTTACTTACTAACTTCTTAATTAACCCATTCAAGACTGTGTAGGCATAGTTCATTCAGAACCTTTATCAAAAATCAGAAATTTTATCAAACCCTGAAACAACCTCT